AGAGAGAGAGAGAGAGAGAGAGAGAGAGAGAGAGAGAGAGAGAGAGAATATTTTCAAAATAATTGGTGAAGTTGAGACTTCAAGGTCCTATATCATTGAGATTAAAACCAGTATGCAATTAAGAAGGAGCACTGTTCATATTTGATCAACACCTGAGCTGGAAAAACAGAAACAATCATGACCAATACCAGCAACATCACTAACCAGTGAGACAATATCAACGGCTTCATTAACAAGTGGTGCAACATTAATAATGTCACTAGCAACATTGGTATCATTATGCATGACTCCTCCAACCAGACAGGCAATACACATATGCAGTTAGCCAGCTCATCACTAAGAGCGATGGAATCAAAACCTACAAGATAAAGACACTACATCCTACTACTTAAGTAATTCCATGAAGATATTTTCTGGGAAAAGTCCACAAGTTATAAAAGACTCTAACATTGTTCAGTTAATTTATAATGTTGATCATCTTTAGTTTAGAAAAACAAGTTGATAATTGGAACACACATTGATAAACAGCTACTTTTTCAATAACATAAAGAAATGAGATGATTTGAATGTTGCCACATTTTACTGCTGCACAGCAGTTATTGGCTGGGTAATGATGTATCAGTTTATCTGTCACATGGTGAGCAGCAAGATATACATTCAAAGAAATTTCAACATTTTAAGCTTAAATTAATTATTTGTAATTAATGACGACCAGAGGACATCTCTAACCATACAATCCTTGGGGGGATTTTAACTCTACCGTTTAGCCAAGTAATTTGCCAATCCCCCACACAGCCTAGCACTGATGGTTATGTTAAGTGATTGCTCTGACCCCCTGCAGCTATGAGCTCCTCTGATCTGATGATGTTACATTTGGATTCAATTGGCTTCAGTAGCAGTTTGGTAGAAGAAAAGTCCAAAATCAACAGCGTTTAAAATTCTTGTCCATATATCTTTCATATTACATCAACTTTCATGTTGCTAGTGCTGACCTGAAACCACCGCCTAGTATGGTAGAGCTAACTCTACTCCATGCGCAATGCTGGCACTTCCACAAATTGATTATGGAGGTTGAATGGTTCCAGGACTTGGTCCATTGATTCTGAGGTGTATGTGAGGAGGTTTGTCAAGAGGTGGGAATACAGGGTTGGGCTGGAAAAGGATGTGATTGACCTGAAGTCCCATTTTGGTCAAAATTGAACTCTGGGAAAAGTATATGCTGAAGAAGAGTGCACTGAAGGACCTATAGCTTGCCTGGCTTTGTTTGTGTATGCGAGGTTGCAATCCAGCTGCTCTGGGAAAAGGACCAGGAATCCCTATTCAATTTCTTGGAAAATAGACAACAGCTCTAGGAACTGCTGGCCAACAATGGACCAGTAAACGGTTTTCCGCTTTTGTTTCCCATAATTTGAGAATGCTGTATAGAGGCTAATGCCTTGAAGTATGTTCCATTTTGCTTCTGCACAGACAGCATGTGTTTATTCAAGTCATGGATATGCTAATTTTTAATCTGGGTAGTCAGTATGGATGATGTTGATGTGACAATGGTATTCCGCTTTGAATTAAAAACTTCATCCTCAGTCTGACGTACAGCAGGGAGCAACCTGTATCATAGTCAGTGCCGTGTTAACTCCGTGTATTGAGATGCTGTTTAGAGGTCATGTCTGATGATCCAGTCCAGCTGATGCCATTGGTCTGATCTTGGATATCTCCAGGACACCTTGGGGCCTGGTTTGTTCTGAAAAATCACTGCTCGCGATATAAAGCTTGTCATAGCAGCAAAACCTAGGTAGTCACTATCTCATTTATCTTTTCCAGGGCATGATGTCTGAGGCAGGATGGCCATGCCTTATGGTCCACTTCGATACTTGCTTTAAAATCTGAGATGTTCTGACTTTGGGATTCTGCTAATAGCAATGTCACACTCCTGATAGAATTGGTCTTTCAACTTTGTATTAGAGTACGACATTGCAGCCTTGATACTCAAGAGGTTAACTGGCTTTGTTTAAGTTGAGAGATGGATAGAGAGAAATCAATCTAAACCATTTGCAGGAGATGCTATCATTGAGAGTCGTGAGTTCCTTTCTGCAGATCCCATACCTTGCTCATGCATTTCCTCTGAACTCTTTTCTTTCCAGATGAATATGGACTGTTATTTGTTAGATGGTTCACTTTCATGAGCCTAGTCTGTAGTTATTATATTCATATTCATTCTGCCAGGTTCCATGTCAATCACTGCTATCTTGCACATGTTAAAAACCAGCCACAAGTCTTTTGTCAGTCCTGTGCGCGTGATCCGGACATTCTAATTTGCCAAATAAAGTGTTGGCATTTTCTACCTTTGATTTGTATGCCAGGTGCAATAGAGTGTGTCCACTTGTTGAACAGAGACTCATGGTTCCAAATACTCATTGACAAAGATGGACCATTGTAAGTAAGTAGCTTACTAATCAAGGGCTGCCTGATGATGTGGGTGCAGGCTAATAAGTAGAACATGTTGCTCCCTCCCACCAATGGAGACATCCTGTAGCAACCCGTTCTTTCTGCCACCAAGGGAGCTTATCACTTATAACTGTTGTTTCCCACATTGAGTCAACATGCTACCACAACTCTAAATATTCCTCTCTAGGGCACAAACTTAGGCAAAATTTATTTTTGCTTAAAATCAGGAATCCTTTTCACCATCCCCAGTTGAGTTCAATGAAGTGCAAACCACGACATTTAACATAGAATCCCTACAGTGTGGAAACAGGTCCTTCGGCCCAACTAGTCCACACTGGCCCTATGAACATCCCACCCAGACCCATCCCCCTATAACCTATCTACTCTACACATCCTTGGACACTATGGGCAATTTGGCATGGCCAATCCACCCAGCCTGCACATCTTTGGATTGTGGGAGGAAACCAGAGTACCCGGAGGAAATGTGCAAACTCCACACAGACAGTCACCCGAGGGTGGAATTGAGCCTGGGTACCTGGTGCTGTGAGGCAGCAGTCATAACCACTGAGTCACCATGCCGCCACGAGACCAGCTTGGAATTGCTGGAAAGATCATATGCATAAAAATTAAAACACCTTTGGTCACCATTCTAGGTTTTGTATCACAGTTTACCTTCTTAGTTTCTAAATCTCCTGAGATATCCACAAGATGG